ACAGCCCGGACTATTTTTTCTGTATTATTTTTGTGGCCAATTAATTTCTTTCTATTTTAGTAGAGACAAGGGTGCTCACTCTGTCAGCTGGGTTTCGGAACTCCTGGACCTGGAGGCTGACCCCGTGCCTCGGCCTCCAGTGTGCAAGGTTTATAGGCGTAGGCACCACGTGCTGGCCCCGATTCTTACTCTTAATATTAATATTCATTCTTGTGGTCTTTGACCCCCCCCCATATTCAGTAGTAGTAAGGTCATCGATGTGCTTACGGGACAGATCATTTCAAGCGTTTATGCATTATATACACGCTTCCAGCAGCTCTGTGTATAAGGAACTTATTTTTGTTCTGCCCAGTAAATGGAGGAACTGAGGAAAAAAGATGGGAGTGATTTTCCCAAGGTCACAGCGTAGGCAAAGGGAGGCATAGTGGTTTGATTCAGGCAGTTCTGTTACAGAGCTCTACAGAACTTATATTATAACTAGGTCAACATCTCCTAGTGCTGCTTGCTCTTCTTTTCTCTTCTTTTCTCTTCTTTTCTTTCTTCTTCTGTTTTCTTCGTTTTCTCTTTCTTCTTTCCTTCGTTAGCAGGTTCCACTTTGGCAGCTTAGAGTGATACCATGGCATAGGCTAGCTCACAGCAATCCTCAATCCTGGGCTCAGCAATCTCCTGCCTCAGGCCTCCAAGTGGCTGGGTACGGGGCATGGCGCCCCCGACTGGCCCGGCTAGTTTTTTTTTCTGGTATTAATTAATTGGCCAATTAATTTTTTCTATTTAAAGTAGAGACGGTGGGTCGCGCGTATCAGGGCGGTTTCGAATCCTGACCTCGAGGCAATCCACCCGCCCTCTCCCATCTCTTTCTTCTGTGCTCTTCCTTTTCTTTTCTTCTTTCTTCTCTTCTCCTCTGTCTTTCCGTTGTCGTCTCCTCGTCCCTCCTCTCTTCCTTTTTCCTCCGTCCGCTCTTTTCCTCTCTTGCTCGCCTCGCGTTCTTGCTTTCTCTGTTTCAGACAGAGTCTTGCTCTATCACCCGGGCTAGAGTACTGTGGCGTCAGCCTAGTTCACAGCAACCTCAAACTCCTGGGCTCAAGCAATCCCCCTGCCTCAGCCTCTTGAGTAGCTGGGACTATAGGCATGCACCACCATCCCTAGCTACTTTTTTCTATTTTTAACAGAGACGAGGTCTCACTCTTGCTGAGGCTGGTCTCGAACTCCTGAGCTCAAGAGATCCTCCTGCCTCCCAGAGTGCTAGGATTACAGGCGTGAGCCACGTGTCTGGCCTCAGCTGCTTTCTCTTACCCTAAACCATGCTCAAATCCCTTTTCCAGTTTCTCAAGTAATTATCTAAGCTCTCCTTGGCCATAGAGAACTTAGTATTTTTGGCTGTTTCACCTTTAGATTTAAAAAGCTCTCCTTTAAATTCATCTGAAATCTGCCTAAGGAGCAATATAGTATAGTAGTACATCTGTAAAATGGGGATTATCGTAGCTATCCCCCAGGAGGGTTGCAAGGAATGAATGAAATAAGGGTGAAAGCATTGAGCACAGTGCCTAGCACCAGGAACTGCTCAATACATGACAACAGTTGGCTATACTTTACTTCTCTTTGTGTACACATCTGTCCTTTGGAGCCACACAAACCAATCATTTCTCTTTTACCCATGGTAGTCCTTCAGTCCTGAAGTCTGAGATCATGTTCCCTCTAAGTCATCTTCTTTCTCCTCCTCCTCCTTCTCTTCCTCTTCTTTTTCTTCTTCTTCTTCTCCTTTTTGTCTCTAGTTTCTTCAGGTGAATCTCATAAGGCATTGTTTCTAGGCCCCTCACTACCCTGTTCCCCTTGACCCTTCCCACTGTGGCTTAGATGAAAAAGTCAGAAAATCACTGAACAAAGCAGAACCACAGCTTCCTTAGCTCTGTACACTATGTGTCTATTAATGAAGCCCACATGTGTATTAGCATTTAGGCAGCCACATGATGTTTGCTTGGCTCCATTGAGTTTACAGCCACCTACAACACCATTTCTTTCTCATTTGAAGCTGTGAAATCACATTTTTTTCACATTCTGTACTTGGTGCAGTTGGTTTCATGAATTCAGATGAATAACTTGACTGTTTTCCCTGTTTTATTTTATCTCCTTTGATCCAACCTATCTGATCCTGACATCCTTTGTAATCTTTATTTTCTCTTCCATTTATACATAGACCTTGAGGACAGGATCAGTGCAGGGTAAGAGAATTCCTGTAAAGGGCTAAGCACAAGCAACTGGCACATAATAAGCCCTGGATAAACATTATTAATTATGCTTATTATTATATCTCAACACTCAGCATAGTGTCTGGACCATAGTAGACCCTTAATAAATATTCGTTGATTAATGAATGAATGACTGGATCCAAGATTGAATGAATGAATATCCCCTGTCTTAAATCCTAGGCCCAGTAAATTTGATATTATCCTCTTTTACAGATAAGGAAGCTGAAGCTCAGAGTGGTTAAGTAACTTACCCAAGGTCACTCAGCTGGAAAGTGGTAGAACCAAAGGCTAGAACCCAGGTCTGCCTGATTCCCAAGCATGTGTGACTAACACTTCCCTACTAGGCTTCCTCACATCTGTGTTCTGATCAGAAGAACTAGCTGTGGGGTCAGAATGAAGTCTGAGGTTGTGAGTTCCAAGCCCTAGAAAAGTTGCTTCTCCTGTTGTGATTCTGGGACAGGAGGTGTGGAATGGGCCAAGATATGGGGAGGAGAGCACTGGAAGCCTCTCCTCTTTCCTTCCTGTGGGCCTCTCAATTTTCACTACCCTAAACTCTGCTTAGATGTTTCTCCTAAGAAACTAACAGCACTGTGTGTCCCCCGTGGAGATACTTTAAGACCAGGGAGCCAAAACCCAGGGAGGTGATTCAACTGCTTGCCAGGACTGGGGCCAGGGGAGTCAGGGGCCCAGGAGAGTAGTAAGAATGGTATAAAAAAACACTGAAACCTGCAAGAGATCTGAAGTTATCACTCTGCCTGCCTAGCTTCCTCATCTGTAAAAGGCATGTATGGCAGTAGGCAGTAATAGTCCCTGTCCTGCCTGCTTCTTAGGACTGTTTGAGGCACAAAAATGATAACAGTTAATGTTTACTAAGTGACATCTCTGTGCCAGCTACTGTGTTGAGAGCCTTTAAGCCCTATGAAATACTGTGTGCCTCCACTTTAGTTTAGTTTTTTTTTTTTTCTTTAATGAACAAGGAAACCAAGGTTCATGGAATTAAGTTACTTGCCCAAGGCCTCTAACTCCAAGTGGTGGCAGAACTGAACTTTGAAACTGTGCAGCCTTTTGAGCCCTTCAGGGCTGTGAGGCCATGGGTGGGAGAGTGTTTGTGAACTCTCAAGTATGAGATAAGCCTTGTACCCTTTGGGACAAGAAAGTACCATACACATATGCAGTTTGTTATGATTGGGGCTGGAAGGGGGAGGCCAGGGAAGAGCATATTCCAAGGAGTTGTTGAACAGATGCAAGGGTTAGGATGGAAGGGCTGTTGCCACCCACAATGATTTGGGTAGGAAAGAGGGGAGAGTTCACAGTCTGAGCGACTTTTTTGAGGAGGGTTCTAGGGCAGGTTGAGGTTGGGGAGGAAGCTCGTAGGGTGTGAAGCCACAACAGTCAATTCAGTGCCCAGGCCTTCTGCAGGAAGAACACTGTGGCTCAGATGACAGTTCTCTGATGGGCTAAGGCAGGGAGAAGCCCTGGTTCTGTCAAAACTTTCCAAGAAACCAGGGACACACAGCCCAGGAGACGAGTACATGGAGGAGCCAGTCCCACCTGTGACCCCTTAATCCTGTCTCTCTGCCCTTGAGGTTCCGGCCACCCTGCTTCTACACTGTTCTCCCTGTATCCACAGCCCACTCCTGGGTTCCCCCCGGCAACTCCCTTCCAGGCCCACTCTCCTCTCACACACCAGAACTCTGTCTGCTGTGGCAGCTCCCGTGTTTGCTTCCAGAGCTCCCAGGCCTGCCACTAGCCAAACACAACGAAGCCTGGCCAGGCAGGGCTGGGCTGGGCTCCAGGCTCATTCTGGCCCCTCAGGGACAGGTAATGGCCTCCAAGCTAAAGAAGGAGCTCAAAGGTTGGCTGCTGCCTGCATTGAGCTCTTGGTTCAGGTCCTGACAACCTAAGTTTCAGGCCTAGAGGAAAGGGGACACAAGATCTGCCCCTACCTGGGCAGGCATCCCTGCTGTTGAAACGGCTTTGGCTGGAAGCCCCAGGAATCAAAGACCCAGCTGGAGAGCAGTGGGGAAAATTTTGAGGCACCCTGGGTGGGAAACAGAGGCTTAGACTTTTGGTCCTTCCTGTGTGTCTCTTCAGCCAGGTAGAACCTGGACCTGAGCCCTCAACGTGAAGATGCAGGTGCCTAAATTTCCCCAGCAGAGGGCTATGTTCTCCTCCCAAAAGTTTGTCCTCCCCAAAGACTCTAGCTGAGAAAAGGAAGTGAACATTTACTCTGGGCCAAGTCCCGAGCAGGAAACATTGTCAGGATGTGCCTGGCATTGGTCTGTCTGGGGTGAGAGGGGAGATTATTTATCTAGTGTGTAGTTGTGTATTTACATAACATATATAATATAAAGGGCAGGGGCTCCAATTCTGTTTCTGGAGCTGAAGTGAGGAGGTGGGAGGTGATGGGTGAGCAGTAACCAGTAGCGACGGTATCAAGCTGGAAGGTAGCAGGACCACAGATGAGGTCATGCAAGGAACAGTGGTCAGTGGCAAAAAGGAGATGCCCCAGTAGGGGAAGAGGAAGTCCTGGCAGCCCAGAGTCCCACGAGGAGAGGTAGAGGGCCCTGTTAACAGCACCCAGTCAATTCTGTAAGAATGTGAGGGATAGGAGTAGGACAGATACTAGTGAAAATAGTGGGGATGGTTTTAGAGGAAATGAAATCCCCAATTTCCTTCTCATTTAGGGATTCATTTCAGAGACAACATACTTGTCTAAGGAATGTCGGAAAGAAAACCTAACTCTGTTGCCAGGCCCCAGTGGAGCAGATGGAGCTCAGGACCCAGGGGCCTTTGGAAGGAACAGGAACGGGGTTAGAGGTGAGCAATGACCCTGCTCAGCTGCATTCTCTGTCACACTCTGCTTCAGCGTTCAGGAGTGGGGGTGGGAACTGGGCCCTGGAAACTGAGTTTATACATGAGGCAACTCACCTCCCCTTCCTGGGTCAGTAATTCTTTGAGGGGTCACTGGGCCCCCAGAGTAAACAAGAAATTTGCCACAGTTTAAGGCATGATTTTGCTTTTTATCTCATCAATGTACATTTTAATCTAACAGTCTAACAGCCTCACACTCCTCACCCCTGCCCAAGCCCTCTCCCCCTCTCTCCCACCCTTGCCCAATCTGCATCTCATCTGCCCCAGGGGCAGAAAGTCACCAGGCACAAAGGTGATTCAAGGAAGAGGTGGCACCTGTGGCTTTCCCAAGGGATGCTTAGGATAGCACCAGACCCCTCTGGAGAGTCCAGAGGCCAAGGAGGCCCAGGTAAGGAGAAGTCATGTCCTGAGTCTCATTGGAAAACATGATCTCCTGGGTCTCAGTTTCAGTCGGAGTCTGTCTCCCTGAGCCTGTCTCTGCCAGTCAGAGCAGCAGAAGGGGAGAAGTCCTCAGACAGGGGGACTTGTGGATGGAAGGGGACCTGTAGCACAAGTTGCACTCAGGGAGTAAGCAAGGCTGTTGGAATCCCCTGGCTGCAGCTTCCTGACCCCTCTGTGATTCCAGGAGTGGGAGGAGAGGTTCTTGGGTTGTGCCACCAGGAAGACAGAGGGCCAGTGCTGCTACCTACAGCCACAAGACTCCACGACCATGTCCTCGTACTGCTTATACACCACGTTGTTGGCAGAGTCAATGAAGAGGATGCTGATGGGACTCAGCCGCGTGGGCACACAGCAGGTGGGTGGCGTGGACTCAGGGTCCATGGAGTTCATCAGGGTCTGGATGACCGCATGGTTCGTGGGCTCCAAGTGGGAGCGCAAGGGGAACTCGCATAGCCCCTCGCAGTGGAAGGCCTCGTACTCAAGTGGTGCGATGATCCAGTCGTCCCAGCCCATGTCCTTGAAGTTGACATGCAGCGCCTTCCGACTGCAGCGAGCCTTAAGGTTCTTACTGGGGCGCTTGCCCTGGCGAGTGGCCAGTGGGGCCCGCCGTTTTCGCCGCTGGCTGAATAGGTACTCATACACAGTCTTATCATCCTGGCCAGAGCGGGCCTTAATCTCATTGAAAAACAGGTCTCGTTTCTTGGTGCGGCCAAACACAAGGAACAGGGCCTTCTCATGGACCTGCCGGGCAGCACGGTCAAAGCCCAGGCCACGGAGGTCCACGGCCCGGCCCCGTTCCCAGGCCTCCAGCTCCAGGCACAGCTGGGCCGAGTTCTTAAAGTTTCGGAAGAGCTTCCAGATGTCGAACACCTCCCAGCCAGATCCATCCAGGCCTGGCACGGAGCGTACATCCAGCAAGGCTGCCGGCTGCCGGCCGCTGGGGCAGCTGGACAGCTTCAGCTGGGCAGTCCGCCCACTGCCGAGGGCCGCCGGCTTGGCCCTGTCCGAGGGCTTCTTCCGCAAGATCCGCAGCTCGGCCCCCAGTAGCCCATCCTTCTCCAGGGCACTAATGTCAAACACGTACCTCTGCTTCCTGACCACAGGACCTCGGTCATCTAGAGAGAACACCCAGAAGTCATTCCCTGCAACCTCACCAAGGGAGTCAGTCAGCTCGAGGCTGCAGGGGAGGGCCCCAGCTCTCTGCCCCTTGAGAGAGCTTTCTTTAACCTCTTCCCCACTCTGACAGAAGCCAAAACCCAAACCACTCACAGCCTTTTTCAAAATGAGAGCCTTTTTCACAGCCAACCAAATAGGGGTGTTTATCTGTAGATGTGGCTGAGGATTTGAGGGACTGTGGGTATTTGTGTCAATGATCTATGTAGACCAGAGGTGCAGCAGCCTTTTAACTGCCTTCTGCCTAGCTCCCTCCCATCCATTATCTAGCATGGCATCTCATTTGTGAGGCAGGTGGGGTGGGCATTAAAATTACCCCTGGTTTTCCAGAGGAGAAACCTGAGGCTCAGAGAAATAGATGACTTGCTCAAGGTCAGCCAGCCAGGAAAGAACAGAATTGGAATTCTAGCCTAGAGCAGCTTATACCCAATCCTGAGCTGCTTTCATCATCTCTTAAGGGAGATCTTAGTAGTCTTGTTTTACAGATGAGGCACAGAGATGGGAAGTGACTTGACTAAGGTCACACAGTGAGTTAATGATAAAGCTTGTCTACAAACCCAATTTCCCCAGCTTCCCAGTCTAATGATTGTTGTGTATGTGTCTTACCTGGTGATCAGGTTCATGTTTGAGTATGAAGGTTAATGTACATGTGAATGACACATTATATGTATGTATGATTGGGCTCGTATGAATATTTGAAGGGTATATATGTGTATGATTTCATGTATATATGTAAGAAGGTATGTGTGCACATGTGTGTGTGATTCAGCGTGTGTGTATACATATAAGGCTGTGTGTGTGTGTGTGTGTGTGTGTGTGTGTGTGTGTGTGTGTGTAAGAGAGAGAAGCTCAGTAGCATCTCCGAATCAGCATGCCCTCCTTCCTAAATACCAATTTGCCATTGGGGAACATTCATATATTGCTTTAGAAGGTGACTAATTAGGCCTTTAAACTCCCCATCTCCCCCTCCCCAAGCTCCCTTAGTGCTGGGGGGCACAAGGACTTATTTTATGAGCCCCCAAGGGGTCACAGCTTTCCCTGGCTGGGCAGGCAGCCAGACCACCTCCCCCACCTCAGCCAGGCCTGCTGCCTCGGTGCCTCCCACCCCCTGTCAGTCCCCTACAGGCTGTTCTAATAAGGAGCCTCTCCCACTCTCTGACCCCTCCCCCACCCTGCCAGCCAGAGTCCCAGGGCTCACAACCAGAGCACAGGAGCTGCAGGCAACCTTAGCAGTCAGTGGTCTACCTCCCTCTTCACACTAGGGAGAAACTGAGGCCCTGAGAGGGGAGGGGACTTGCTGAGATCACACGGCAAGTGAAGAGGAAAAGCTGGGACAGTAATACTGGGTGAGCAGAGGAAGATGTGAGGGGAGCCCATATTCTCCAGGGTTAGGACAGGATGTAAAGTTTTCATATTTGAAGGGTTCTTAGCAACCACCCCATCCAACCCCCATATAGGTGTACAGATGGGGAAACTGAAACCCCAAGGTGAGAAGGGGCTTTCTTGAGGTCTCATTGTGAGTTAGGCCTTAGGTCTGCCACCTCCCCATAGATCTAAAAATCATTCTGTGGCTCCAAGATGCCTCATTTTCCGTCTTGACCTACCCTGCCTCCTCTGCCCCTTAGCCTGAGGGCAAAGTTGCAGAACTATGGGGACCTAAGGACTCATTTCTCTCTTTGCCATTTGAGAAAACCTACAAACCCCTGAACTTGGGAAGTTTGGCCAAGCAACACAGGTATAGAGCATGGCCCAGTGACCAAGTCTTGGAGTCTGGTCTCCAACTCTGCCACCAGCTGGCAGGTCTTGGCTCCTCTCCTGGCTCCAGGGTCCCCTTTTGCACCTTGCAGGAATTGGACTTGGTGATCCCTAGGTGCCCTCCAGCGCTGGTATGCAGCAGCCTGGGATCTGGTATGTGTGAGATAAGTCCCCAGACACCCTCCCTGGGCCAGATGCACACACCGTCTCCCACCAGGGCAGCGTCGGGCTCTGAAAGCCCCTCCATGCATGCAAATGCCCCTCCCTCTGAGCCGTGCCCCTGCCACCCGCCCCCTCACCTTGCCCTTTGTCAATAAAGCTGGTGATGGTGTTGGCCAGGCCAGCCTCCAACTTCACGCTGCTGTTGCCTCCCTTTCTGTCAGCATCGGACAGCGTCCTGTACAGCGAGAGCATGTACTCGTGGGGCGTGATGGGGGGCGGGCGGAACGGCTCCTTGGGCTCTCGAGGGGGCCCAGGCTCCCTGGCCTTCTTCAGCAGGAAGGAGCTGGGGACAGATCCTGCCTTTGGAGGTGCCTTACCCCCAGGAAGCTGTCCTTTTGGGGTCACAGTCCGTGCTGCAGCCTGCCTTGTCTGGGGAGGGTGTCCTGGCTTGGGTTCAGAGCCACCCGATCTGGGGGGCAGCTTTTTGGGTTCATCCTTCTTGGGCTGTGTCAGGCCTCCTGTCTGCCCGGTACTTCCCTTTGCCCTGGCATTGGTGGCCCCCCCGCCATAGCTGTGACCCCCTGGCCTGAAGATGTTCCGGGCCAGGGGGGACCTCTCCTTGGTCTCTGCTTTGGCCAATCCTGGCCTGGCCCCCTGGGGTCTCTGGCCCAAGTCAGGGGCACCCAACACAGTGCAGAAGAATTCCAGGTCCAGCCAAGCCAGGTGCCAAAGCAAGAAAGTGAGGAGTTTGGGGAGTCTCATCCTCTGGCCAGCCGCTGAATGACACCAAAGAGAACAGCGGCAGCAGCGAAGGTGCCTCTGGTTTGGCAGGAAAAACCATGAAAGGAGTGGTCTTTCAAAAGCAGCGGCAGCAGCAGTAGCAGCAGAAGGAAAGGCTTTCTCCTCAGTCTGAGACTCTTGAAGTCTGCCGGGTGTGTGTTTGTATCCAGTCCCATAGTGGAAATGCTCTTGTATCCAGACGTGCACCGTCTCCAGTCAGCAGCTGAAAATAACTCGTTCTTGAAAGGAGAAAGCCGACCGCCCCCTTTCTCCTGCACAACTGACTGAGGGCTTGAAGGAGGCTTGTATAAGGCTGAGGGATTTTTCCAAGAAGGAAGAATGGCGTAATGCTGCCTGTGTGCTCCAGTTTTTTTTTCCCCCTAGTTTTGAATCCTTTCCAGTGAAAATACTTCACACACACACACACACACACACACATACACACACACACACACACACACGCACGCGCGCCTGCAGGTGCTCAGAAAAATCTTTTACAAACCTGAACTCAGGAATTGGAAACGGAATTCCAACCCAAACCAATTTAATTACTCTCTGATGTCATGCTGTCTAAACTCATTTAAGTGCGATATATTTATGTGAAAAAAAATCACCGCTGCCCTTTCGAGGCCATGGCTCACAGGGACTCTTGGCACAGAGCCCCGCAGCGGGACTCTAGGCTTAGAGGGCCTCCAGTCCACGGAGCAGACTCAGGGGTCCTCACCTCCACCTCAAGGAGCAGCCCACCCCACCTTCCTGAGGATAGATGCTCAGGAATGAGCTCAAAGATCTTAAGCCCCAGGAGCACAGGGAGTACGAGTTTGCAGTTAAGTCCTTGGAGTGTTTTTAAAGCAGTTTCAAGCAGTCTGGGACCTGATTTGGGGTGTGTGTGTGTTGGGCGGGGGGACAGCACAGATGGCAGCATTTAACCACAGTCCCTTTTATTTTAATAAACTTGTGGTGACCCAGAGACAGAAAAATCTCGGTACCCACTACTACACCCCTCCCTCCCCCCACATGCCAGTGACTGAGCTCAGATGATTTCTTCAGGTTTGGGGGCACTGCCACCCTTGAACCCACTCCTTGGATAGTGGCAGGTCTGGGGTGTACCCCACTACTACCCCAGCAAAGACATCCTCAGAGTTTTCTTAGAACTGTCTGGCTGAGTCCCGGGGCAGCAGCCCCAGCCTGGGGCAGCAGCGGCCCCTGCAGGAGGCTGGAAAAGCAATTTCCCACATTGTGTTGTGGTAGCTCTGGAAGAAGTCTGAATTTCAGCTGGCCTCCTGGGTTTCTCAAGTGCCTCACTAAAGTACTGAAGCCACCTTCCTTTGGGGAACCTGCCCTGTAGAGGCCCAGGAGGAAAGCTGTTCCTATCACCTGGAATATCCTCCTCT